AGAAACAAACTGAGGGTTTTAGAGGGGAGGGGAGTGGGGGGATGGGTTAGCTTGGTGATGGGTATTAAGGAGGGCACATACTGCATGGAGCACTGGGTGTTATATGAAAACAATGAATCATGGATCACTACATCAAAAAATAATGATGTATTGTATGGTGACTAACATAGCATAATAAAATAAAATAAAATATTTAAAAAAAGAACTCATCTATGTAGCAAAATAATGAGAAGATTTATAGGTAGAGGTGAAAAGCCCACCAAGCCTAGTGATAGCTGATTATCCAGACAGAATTTTAGTTCTACTTTAAATTAGTTCAACCTAAAAGACCCCTAGTAATATTAATGTAACTAACATGGAGAGACCTGGGGAAATCTATCAGAGATTGGAAATATGAATGAGTTTCAGACACATAGAGAATTGCACAAGAAGATCTAATGTTGGAGTCCCAGAAGTAGTGAAGGAAGAGAATGAGGGGAGACAATATTTATAGAACACCATAGCTGAGAATTCCCCAGATGTCAAAAAATCCAGGAAGCATAATGAATCCTAAGAAGGATAAATAAAGTAGCTAAACATAGTGTAAAAGAATCCAGAATGCCAACAAGAAAGAGAGGATCCTAAAGTCAGTGAAGTAAAAAAAAGACTACCTAACAGGTACAATGATTAGATTGAAAGCAGACTTCTCAGTAATAGTAAATGCCAGCAAAGTCCACCAAGAGAAATGTGTCTACTTGGACTTCTGATCCAGCTAAATTATCATTTAATAACTACAGAAAATGCAGAACACCAAAGACAGAGACAGACTTTTCAAAGGAGTGAAACACTGATAGCCAACTTCTCCATAGCAATAAAAGAGGTCAGAAGATATTAAAAAGATTTCTTTAATGGGCTGAGAGAAAATAACTGCCAACCTGGATTTCTAAACCTACCAAAAATATCTTCAAAAAATGAGGGACAAATAAACATATTATAGACAAACAAAAACTGAGAGTGCTTGCCACCCATAGATCTTCATTAAATAAGATTCTAAAGGATGCCCTTCAAAGAACAGGAAAATGATCCATGAGGAAGGACAAGGTATAAGAATAAATGAAAAGCAAACAAAATGGCAAATATGTGGATAAATCCAAGTGAACAATAATTGCATAGAACAACAACAATAATACATTGTGGGTTTAAAAAACAAGGCAAAATTAAGATATAAGAAAACAATAATGTAAAAGTCAGAAAAATGTAAATGGAGTTAAAGTGTTCTAATGTTCTTGTACAATATAGGAGGAAGAGAGATTAACTTTAGACTTTGATAAGTGAAGTGTTCCTGCTATAATTTCTAATGTAGCCATTCAAATGTAGAGCATATAACTTACTTATTAGCAGAGAAGAAAAAAATGGAGTTATAAAAATAGTTAATCCAATAAAAAAGGAGAAAAAGAGAAATGAGTGGGTAGAACAAATAGAAAACACAAAATAAGATGGTAGATTTAAAATCTAAATATGTCAGTAATTTAACATGTTTAAAGTGACCAAAAAAAAAAAAAAAAGACTATCAACCAAGAATTCTATAGCTAGCAAAACTATCCTTCAAACATGAAGGGGAAATTAAGACATTCCTGGATAAACAAAGACTGAGAGAATGCACCATTAGCAAACCTAGAAAGAAATTCTAAATTATAAAGAAATTCTACAGGAAGTCTGTCAGGCTGAACTGAAAGGACTTGAAGGTACATGCAGAACTAAAAAACTCTGGTAAAGGTAACTACATAGGTAAACATAAACTACAGTATAAGTGTATTTGTTGTTTGTAATTTTTCTTCTCCTAGCTGAGAAATGGCATGAAGCAATAATTGGAAATGTGTGCTGATAGGCATGCAATGTCTAAAGATGTAATTTGTATACTAGTAACAGCACAAAGGAGGGGGCAGGCAATGGAGCTATATAGGAGCAAAGCTTCTGCATACAACTGAAATTACATTAGTATTACTACAAACTATGTTGTTATAAGTTAAAATGTTAATTGTAATTTTCAGAGTAACCACTAAGAAAATAACTTAAAAAACCCGCAGTGAAATTACAAAGAAATTAAAATGTTACATTAGAAAAGATCTATTTAATGAAAAAGAAAGCAGCAATAGGAGAACAGAGAACCAAAAAAACCTGCCAAAACCCCAAAACTAAGAAACACAGGACCATAAGACACATAGAAAACAAATAGCAAAATGGCAGATGTAAAACCCACCTTATCAATAATTATATGAAATGTTGATTAAACATCTAAAGACAGATATTACCAAAATGGATAAAAAACATGATCCAACCATATGCAGTCTAAAAGAGACATACTTTAGATTCAAACACACAAATGGACTGAGAGTAAAAGATGGGAAAAGATATACCATGTGTACAGCAACCAAACAGAGCCTGGTGTGGCTATCCTAATATCAGACAGGATAGATTCTGAGAAACAAACTGAGGGTTGTGGAAAGGGAGGTAGGCAGGTGGATGGGGTAACTGGATGATGGGCATTAAGGAAGGTACATGATGTAATGAGCACTGGGTGTTATATGCAACTAATGAATCACTGAACACTACATCAAAAACTAATGATGTACTATATGTTGGCTAATTGAGTTTAAATAAAAAAATTGTCATTAAACACAAAAAGGACATTTTATAGTGATTAAAAGGATCAATCCATCAATAAGATATAAAAATTATAAACATATATGCACCTAACAACAGAGACCCCAAATACATGAAACAAAAACTAACAGAATTGAAGGGAGAAATAGGCAAATCAACAATAAAAGTATGAGATTTCACTACCCCACAGAACAACCTGACAAAAGACCTACAAGGAAATATAGTGACCAATGCTATAAACCAACTAGAGCTCACAATCATCTGGAGAACACTCCACCCAATAATAGCAGAATATACTCTCTTCTCAAGTACACATGGAACATTCTCTAGGATAGGCTGTGTGTTAGCCATAAAATAAGTCTCCATAAATTTAAAAAGATTGAAGTTATACAAAGTATGTTCTCCAAACACAATGCAATGAAATTAAAAGTCAGTAACAGAAGGAAATTTGAAAAATTTACAAATAATATGGAAATTAAACAACCACTCCTAAATGATCAATAGGTTATAGAAGAAATCAGAAAAATGATTAGAAAATACTGTGAGGTGAACAAAAATGAAAACAAAACATACCAAAACAGTGAGAGCAGTGCTCAGAGAGAAATTTATAGCTGTAAATGCCTACATTAAAAAGAAGAAAGATCTCAAACCAACAACCCAACCTTTCCCCTTAATAAACTAGAAAAAGAAGAGCAAATTGAACCCAAAGCAAACAGAAGAAGGGAAATAATAAAGTTAATGGCAGAGATAAATTAAATAGAAAAACAATAGAGAAGATAAGCAAAACCAAAAGTTGGTTCTTTTAAAAGATCAATAAAATTGACAAATGTGGGGGGTGCCTGGGTGGCACAGTCAGTTAAGTGTCTGACTCTTCATTTTGGCTCAGGTCCTGATCTCAGAGTCGTGGACTGAGCCCCGTGTTGGGCTCCACGCTCAGTGGGGAGTCTGCTGGATATTCTCTCCCTCTTCCTCTGCCCTCCCCCAGCTCTCTCTCTCTTAAATAAATAAATAGACAATTTTTACAGAGAGAGAGAGAAGAGAGAGGAGAGAGAATGATTCAAATTACTAAATAAAGAATGAAAATGGGGACATTACTACCAACCAATCTTATAGGAATAAAAAAGGATTATTGAATACTATGAACATGAACAGTTGTATGCAAACAAATTAGATAATCCAGATGAAATGGACAAATTCTTAGATGTACACAGACTACCAAAACTTACTCAAGAAGAAGTGGAATATCTGAATAGAATTATAGCAAATAAATAGAATCAATCAATAATCAAAAAACTTTCAAAGAAAAGCCTAGGACTAGATGACTTCACTGCTGAATTCTATCGAATTTTTAAAGAAGTAACACCAATCTTCCTATTCCTAAAAATAGAAGAAGAGGGACATTTCCCAATTCATTTTAGGAAGGCAGCATCACCCTGATACTAGAGCCAAAGACATCACAAAGAAAGGAAACCACAGACTGATATCCCTTAGGAACATCGCTGCAAAAATCCTCAACAAAATACTAGCAAACGAAGTCCAGCAGCAGATTAAAAGGATTATATTTGTCCAATATATATACAACAAATATATTATATTTGTTCCCCGAACACAAGAGTGGTTCAACATATGAAAATCAATCAATGTAATACACCATATATTGATAGAATGAACGGGGGTGGGGGACAACATGGTCATTTCAATAGATGCAGAAAATGCATTTGACAAAATCCAACATCATTTCATGGTAAATAAAAATGTTGAACGAACTAGAAATAGAAGGGAAACTTTTCACTAGGAATAGAAGGGAAATTCCTCACTCATAAAGGGAATTTACATAAACTCTCCAACTAACATCATACTTAATGGTGAAAAACTAAAAGCTTTTCTCCAAAGACTAGGAGCAAGAGACAGATGTCTGTTTTGCCACTTTTAAAAAAATTATTATTAAGTAGGCTCTACGTCCAGCCTCCAGAGTCTGTGGCATTTCTGCTTCAGTCCTTCAAAAGAAAGGGGGTCATGTGTTGTTTTTCTGGAAAAGCAAGGAAGGGGTAAGGTAGGAGACAGCGTCGCGCCAGGGAGCCTGTTGTAAAGGAAGGGACCCCTGAGGACTGAAGAGGATAGTAACGTACCAGAGAGGAAAGAGAATAGGCCTCTGGCCCGGAAGAAAGACAGTGCTTGAGTTGGTGTGGGAAGTAACCCAACAGGGGCCCAAGGAGCAGCCAGAGTGACTGTCATTGTGATGTAACACACACACACACACACACACACACACACACACACGAGGGAGAACGTTCTTGGACATGGGCCACCCTGTCAGTCTGCACAGGGATCACTTGGAGTAGATGACATCTACTTACAGAGGCACTGGGGGCGGGGACGATCCCACGTGCCATCCCCCTGGCAGCTGAGCACCGGGGTGCCCAGGAGGTAGAAGCCGTGGTTGCACTGGTAAGACACAGTGGTGCCGTAGCTGAACCTGTGTGGGCCACTGGCACGGACTTGACGAATGCTGTTTTCTTGGTGCCCAGGATCTGTGCAGTTGATGACTGTAAGGGAATGGGACCATCAGACACAGAAACCTGGATGTGAAGATTTTCTTATGCTTTTAAATGAGAATTCCTAAGTCCCAACAGGCATGCCTTCCCAGTAGGGCAGAATTTCCAGACCGAAACTGGTAGCACAGAGCCGATCCTGCCTGGGAGGGTGAGCTGGTCCTCAGGCTGCTGTACTTCCTGATCGCCGACCTTGATCACCTGGTTAAGGGATTCATTCTTCCACGTTGGCTGGACTCCACCTCCCTGGAGAAGCCTTCCCACCTCCTCCCAGATGGGTTAGCCTCTCTGCAGTGCTCTCCTGCACAGACCTCTACTGCTAACTTTATCTGCCTTGATGGTGAGTTGTTTGAATACATGAGTCCCTGGAGGGCATGACTCCCTCGCCTCTGGGCGCCCCATCCCTGACGACAGAGATGTCTGAGCTGACTCCAACAGGGGCTGGTCTTTTTTGGAACCTGTTTTAACCACTTTGAAGAGTATTTCAGGGAAAGATTAATATCCTGGGGGATAAATTTGACTGCTACATGCTGAAAGTGTTTCCAAAGCAGCTTAACTCAAAATCAGAGGGATATTTTAGGATAATGACAGTATCATTTATAATCCATGATGTGCGCTTTTGCTTTCAAATCCTTACCATTGTCTCCTAATCGTCATATAAGGTAGGCAGTACAGGTATATTTTTTTAAATCTTGGATAAGTTTTTGAAGTATAAGGTATTTTTACCTTTGATGAGCCCCTCTGAGGCTCAGAGAAGTTGGCGTCACAAAATAAATACTTAGTATGTATTGATTCACACTCTTTATGGCCGTACGCTGAGCGCCAAGCAGTGTGTCGGGCAGTAAAGATACCACGGAATTTGCAGTCAAGAGTAGGCTTTCTCTACCTTGGCACTATGGACATTTTGGCTGATAATTCTTTGTTGTGGGGGCAGTCCTGTGCATTATAGGATGTTTAACAGCATCCTTGGCCTCTACCCACTAGATGCCAAGAGAAGCCCTCCAGGGGTGACAATGAAAAATGTCTCTAGACCTCTGTCCCCTGTTGGGGCGGGGGGATGGATACAATCATCCCCAGTTGGGAAGTGCTGGTCTAGAGAGAAAAGGACAAACCAGCAATTATTTTGTTTGATAAGCACTCTGATAGGGGTAGCAGAGAATGTTCCAGAAGCACAAAGCAATAATCGAGAGCCCAGTGCGGGGTGGTGGAGCAGTAAGGGCTTCCAAGAAGGGGAGATGTTCAAGCTGGTTCTCGATGGTTGGGTAAACGTCATCCAGACCAAGGCGGACAGAGAAGAACGCATTTGAGGAGACTGAGGGAGTGCCCTGGGGTTGTGTGCGTGATAGGACTGGAAGAGGCTCAGTGTAGCCAGGCCCCAGTACAGAGGTCAGGACAAGGCAGAGGACAGTACCTTTGTGAGGGCATTGGGAAGTCTGGGAAGGCATTTTTAACAGGGGACGACTCGATCAGGTTTGCGTTTTAGACAGGTCACTCTGTAAGCGTAGAGAATGGGCTGACGGGAACAGGACCGGCGGCCACCACTTCTAAGATGTTACCCCAGCCCTTGGATTCCAAGACCAGTCCCTGAGCTTGTTACTCTGGGAAGGGACTGGTGGGGGCGGGAGCTAGAGTTACAGGAGAATTTGCATCTTGTGTTGCAGAGATGGAACATGGCTTTTGAGAAGGGGACACGGGATAGCAATACCCCCCCAGCAGCCAAGTTCTAAATTCTTTCCTGCCTCAGTAGATGATCAGAGGAAGGCACAACACCAGGTCATGACAGTTGTTCCTGTGTTTTCTGGAACCTTCTTTCACTCAAGATGGCATCTTCAAATGTTACCAGAGGGATGTTATTTTAGGGTTAGTTGGGATGCATCTTGATTTACTTGAAAATATGAGTTCTTTAACACCGGTTACAAATGACTTGTCACACGTTGCACAGCCAATCACTGTGCACCCGCACATAGTGCAACGAGGAGCCAATCGTCCCAGGGACTCTGCGCCCTCACAACTATGAAGACTCGATCCACCCCCAGGTCAGGGAGGGACTCATTCATGTTCTGCCCGCATTGATGCTCCACTCGTATGTCACGGAGTCTGCCAGGCTCTTCCTGGTACAAGGCAGCTCCATTTGCCCCTACTGCTGTGACCAGCCTCAACAAGCTTTAGAAACTATTTCCTAAGTCGTCCAGATGGGGCCAGAACACCCTCCGCACAGAGTCTGCCTCTCGAGTCCTTGGGTTCTGTTCTTCCTCCCTGCTTCATCCCAACCCCTATGCTCTCGGCTCTGTATTTTTCATTCTAACTTTCCTGCTTTTTTCTTTCATCAGGAATGGGGCTCTATAGGGTAATGATGAGTATTTGTTCTATGCAATGTAAACGAGAAGATTGCTTTCCATTTCTATTTTGAAAAGCACACCTTTTTTGCTGTGCTTGTATAACCAGTGATGAAATCTTGACACAGACGTGGCTGTTTCAAGGGGTTAAGAAAATCCTCATTTATGACCCTCCTGTGCTCTCAGTTTTCCTTATCTGTGTCAAAATCACGCCAGGACTGAATCCTCTGGGTCACAGAACCCCAAATGGCAGCGGTACTGGGGGCCAAGTGGAAGAAGAAGGGTGACTCACTTCTGCAGGTGGGCAGCATGTCGCTCCACTGCCCACTGGACAGGCACTGGGACCTAGTGGCCCCCTCAGCCACATACCCGGGGTTGCACACAAACTTGACCACGTCGTTGAGGTTAAACTGGTTGCCCTGAGTGAGGCCGTTGATCGGGTTGCCTGGGTGTCCACAGGTAATTGCTGCAACCCAAACAGAAGAGAGGTAAGACCTCCTATTATCCCACATCCCCCAAAGCTCATCCTTTCCTCACCTGGTATTTCTCACGCTCATGAGTGAAGTTCAGCCCTAAGCTTAACTATAGTCTCTTTAGCAGCAAAATCTTTACCTCCTGAAATCAGCATGTGGGCGCACCTTCTTCCGTGAAGGCACATCTGTAGCTTGGACAAATTGAGAGAAATCATTCTGTGACTTCCCATGGGGCCTTTGGCCTGGAATGGTAGGTCTGTTGTCCAGGTAGTCAGCCCTGCCTCCTTTTCTCTGCCTCTATCCCTGAGGCTCCCCATCACCACTCTCCATCACTGGATGTGATGACTACCCCTTAGTAGATTCAGACCCAGCCCACTTCTTGGGCCGAGCTTGACAGAGCCAGAGTCGATACTAACCAAGCCTGAACAGAGGGATTGCTCCCCCTGCCAGCCTGCAGGAGCCAAAGCTGTTGCTGGGAGCACAACCCTTCCCCTCTATTCCTCCCAGATGAAGGAGTGATTTCTGGCCTTTCTTTGTGCTCTTTTACTTACTCTGGCCCAGGTCACGTGGAGCGGCCGATCTGTGCAATTTGGGAAGAGCGAGCAGTCATGCTTGACCCAGTTCTGCCCCCTTCCTCTTGGGACCTAGCGACTGTGGACAACAGTGTTCTCTGCTGCTCCTCTGGGGGCAGGCGCTCCCTGACAATGAAGGGATGCCGGCCCTGCGTATTTCTCTAATTGTGTGAATCCACCCCATCCTGGGTTTATTCAGCAGACCCTACTGGGCTACACATGAAGCTATTGCTTCCGACTTAGGCTTTATTAGTAATGAAGGTGATACTTTGGCATCCATGCAGGATTGTGTAATTTCTTCAGCCATGGGCAGAGCACTAGTGGAGGACCTGGTGCCGGCAGGCCTGGCTCCAGAGTGCTCAGGTTACCCCTCTGTCCCAGCTTTCTTCCTTCCTCCTAGAACTGGAGTTCATCCTTCCACCCAGGCACTGGTCTCTCTGAGATTTCTCCAATAGAAGTGCCTGCTCCAGAGCCTTGGCACCTGCTTTCCCCTCTGCCAGAACATCCCTTGGCTCCTGCGCTCACATCCTCAGGTCTCCCCTCAAATGTCACCATATCAGGGAGGCCGTCCCTTATGACCCAATAATCAGCCTCCCCAGCACTGCTCAGGCCCCGTGCCTTCTCCACTTTTTTCCACAGTAACTGACACACTCCACATGCAGTTCTCCATTTGTTCAGTCCTTATCTCCCTCCACCTGAAGTTAAGCTGCACGAGGGCAGGGTCTTTGGTTCACTCCTCGTTATATCCTTGGGGTCTACAGCAGTGCCTGACATGTAGGAAGAGCTTGATCAATATCTGCCAAGTGAAGGAACATGTGAGTGTGGGAACGGATGGGTGACAGGCCTTCTGCTTTGCTCCTTAGTCCTTAGTTCTATTGAGCACCTGCCTGGTATCCCAGTTTCTCTAGATTGAACTCTCAGGTGATGCTTTTGACAGGCCTTTCTCTTGGTTTTGGATCTGGAGGCTGAGAAATCATGAGGAATGTTTTCTTACCCCAACAACTGGACCCACAAGAAGCCCACCCCAAACCCAGATGGTGTGAATGGGGATGGGTGGGCAAGAGCAGACAGAGCCCAGTTTTGCTATGGCCAACTCTGGTATCTGCCTGGGTCTGTTCTCTTGTGTAAATCTCAACAGTAGCATCACTGACCCTAGCGGCCAGAGCTGGGCAGAGGGGGACACATGTGGCTAGTGGACTGCAGGGGTTCAAGACTGCCCCACGTGCTGAGATGAGAATGGGCTATGGGGGCCAGCAGACCAGGTCACCAAAGCGCCTGCAAGGGAAATGGAGGTGTGGTCAGCAGGTAGAAAAAGAAAACTTGATGGGGGGTGGGAGTGTCCCTGAAGCCACAGGGAGATCCTCAAGAAATGTCGGATACCCCAGAGAGCTCTGTTTCTCTGGGGACCCTGACTGGTACAGGCTGCAAAGAAGAGATGGAGAACACCCACTAGGAAGGAAAATCGAGGTCTTTGTGAAGCTTGAGGGCTTCCCTGGGGCTTGAGGGAAATTAAGAGAAAAGAAAGGTAAGTGGTATGGAGGAGAGATTTAAAAGCAGATTAGGGTCACTAAGGAGGCAGAAGGGAGGAGATCCAGGGATGGATGGAGGGCACAGCCTTGTGCCTGGAGAGAGAGATTCTTCTAGGGAGGTGGGAGGGAAGGGAGAAGGATAGACGTGTGGGTGGGAAGCAGGAGGTAGAAGGAGTTAGTGTCTGATGGCTTCCATCATTTCTGCAAAATAGAAAGTGAGGCTGTCTAATCAGCTAATAATTATTGGGGTCTATCTGCATTATTTTATTGAATCTCCACAACCCTATGACATAGGTCCCATCGTCATCCTCAGAGAAGCCGGGAGTCTTGTTCAGGGGCACAGTTTCTAGGTGGCTCACCTGAGCTCTGAACCCAGCTTCTGTGACGGGGCTGTGTTCACTATCTGCCTTAGCTGTCTGCTGGGAAGGCAGGTGGAGGAAGTGGAGGGCGGGGTCTTCAGGAAAGAGGTGAAATCGCGCAGAATGTGTGGGAATGGGCAGGAGAGCTACCGGAGGAGATGTGGGATTGCCGGGAAGTTCTGAGAGTGATGGATATGGAAACCTTGGATTGACACGTGGTGACGGCTCACACAGTGCCGACCACGGGGTCGTCACTTATAAATACTTGTTCTTTTCCTCTGCCTTCCTCCTCCAGATGCCCCCCACTGCTCTGTGCTCCAGGAGACAATGGGGTTTGGCCCAAGAGGTCCTGGATTCTGTCATGTGGTAGCATCGACACCACCATCGTCATAACAACAGCAAGAGCATCTGCTTCATGCCTCTCTCAGGCACAGTTTGGACTACTTTGGGTCCAAAATAGCATTTATTTAATCCTCACAATACTCCGAAGTATCTGCTTTTTGTAGAGGAGGAAAAAGACTTAGGCAGGTAAACTAACCCATCTGAAGTCATATAGCCACGTGATATGGGGTGGGAGGTCTGGGTAGGACCCAGGCAATCGAGGTCCGGGGTCCAAGTGTCCAAATACTTTACTACACTGCCTTTCAGTGCATGCCGGGTTTAAAACCAAACATCTTTAGGCTTAGGCAGACATTCTCCACTTATTTTCAGACCCCAACATTCCCTATTATTTATAACCCAAATGTCCACATGCATATTCTGGGCCGATTACTTGAGGCATCTGAATTTGCATCTTCTGGATAAAACCAAATGTTTTGTTCACACCCATCTGGAAGAGTGACTGAATATAGATGGGTCTTGCTTTGTGTAAACCTAATACTTAAGCAGCTATTAAGACTAATTTTTCACGCATTGCTTATTCAATATGTCTCATTATTTTATTGCTCCATCTCATCTATGAAGAACCAAATGAAGAAGAATTACAAACAAAAACCTGCCTTAAAAAAATTAAACAACAAAACCAACCCTGCACTTTACATAAAGGCTCACTTTGGGGAACTTTAAAAAGTGAAGAATTTTCCAAGTTACTTCCAGGCAACTGAGAAAAATGGTGGTCATCTAAATCCAAAAAAAAAAAAAATGCAGATTAACAAGAAGAACAAATAAAACTATAGAAAGCCCAGGCCTGCAGCATAACCAAAACAGAATGCTATAAACTTTAAATTATGTGTAAGTAGAAAAACAAGCACGACACCCAGGCAGAGCTGTTTCTCATGCTTTTGCTGCAAGCCTTTGTGGAGAGCAGGACTGTATGGAAAAGAGAAGAGAGGGGCAGGGAGCGGCCCAATATTGATCTGAAGTCACTGCTGGCAAGAGAAAGTCCGTCTTAAATATGAACAAACTGAAAAAGGATTCTGATATGTCAGTGCACAGACTACAGGAAAGGGGTATGAAACTCTTAAATTCCCTAAATACCAAAAGAAATGGGAAAAAATAGTAAGGAAAACATCACACAGGGGCATCTGGGTGGCTCATTCGGTTAAGCATCTGCCTTGAGCTCAGGTCATGATCCCTGGGTCCTGGGATCCACCCCTGCATCTGGCTCCCTGCTCAGTGGGGAACCTGTTTCTCCCTCTCCTTCTGCCCCCACCCCCACTCATGCTCTCTCTCTCTTTCCCTCTGTTGCTCCCCCTGCTTGTGCTCTCTCTCTCTCTGTCAAATAAATAAATAAAATCTTAAAAAGAAAACACCACACAGTGAAAGAAATAGCCGAGTATATCTTATAACCCGTAACAGTTACGTAAGACATGACAGACGTAAGACCAAGAATATAAGTCATAGAGATATATGTGAATGAGTATAACTAACCTATTAAAAGAGAAACGTTTCAAATGGGCTCACAAGGCAAGACCCAACTCTCTGGTATACAAAAGTCGGAAAGGGTAAAACACAGGGATGGCTCAAAGTATACCAGGCAAATGGAAAAAGGACAAAAGTAGGGGTTGTAAGCCTAGTATCAGGCCTGAGTGCCAGTCAAGCTATAAAATACTAAAAGCGACAAAGAAGACATTTTAAAGGCTAAAATCACAATTTGCAATGTAGATAATAGTTCTGAACAAGTATATACCAAATTACACAGCAACTACCTTTATGTAGCAGAAACTACAGGAAATGCAAGGAAAAATAGATAGAAGGACACTAAGAATAGAAAACTTTAAGACACACCACTCAGGGCAAAACAGGTCAAGTGGACAGAGTCAGTAAGCATACAGAAGGCAGAGACGACATAATCAAGGCACATCTTATGATTATATACAGAACTTTATACCCTAATCCCCTTTCTCCTAAAATGCCCATGGAACATTCAGAACACCTGATCAAATATGAGGACATCAAGAGAGCATCAGTAAATTCCATGAGGTAGAAATATTACACACAGTGCGATCATATTAGAAATGAATGACAAAATAAAAATAGAATGGCCCTTCCACTTAGAAATTAAAAGAAAACAACTATTAAAAAACTTCTTGGTGAAAGAAGAAATTCATACCCAAATTAATATTAATTTCTAATAAACAATCAAACATTAATTGTTATAAGCTATGGGATCCGCTTAGAGCAGTTATTGGAAGACATTTCCCAAACTTAAGCACTTATATCAATAATAATAATAAAATGAAAATAAATGAATTGGATTCCCAACTCTAAAGCTAGAAATGAACAAACAAGTTAACCAAGGGGAATCACAAGGAGGGTGACGGTGAAGGCAAAAGCAGTAATGAAGGATGCCGAAAACAGAGAACGAGATGTAATGATGCGTCTTTCAAAAAAAATTAACAAAACATACAAAACCTCCAGTGAACCTAACCAAGAGCACAAGGGAGCAAGTCCATGTGGAGTCTGAGCTCGTGACTAAGCAGAGTGGGTAACATACTTACGCACACAGAAAGGGGTCTTGCCCGACCAGAGGTGATCCTGCTGGCAGATGCGCACGGACATGCCGATCAGGCGGAACCCAGCGTCGCACTGGTATACCACGCTGCCCCGGTAGCTGTAGTTCTCCCCATTGACGTTTCCATTGACGATGGGCTCGGGTGTCCCACAGTGCCCAGCTTTGGTGGGAGGTGAGGAAAGAGTGCAAATCGAAGAGGAGCTCATATAAGAGGAGAGGGGATGGTGAGGAAAAGGACCAAGGACCCAGCCACCCATCGTTCCCCC